CAAGAACCAATCGCCAACCAAAAATATGCAGGAGAAAGTGGAGATGGATTGGACGCTCGCTGAGTGAGGAGGCAGCTGGGTGACATCGCGCGCGCGTCAGGCCATTGTTCGAGTGGAACACGACAGAATTGGAAGCGGCGAGTGGGACGTCAGTGCAAGGGTGACATGGAGGAGATCGTGTGAAGAGGAGTTGAAACAGTATGGACTAACAAGAATGGATGCAGGTGAAAAGTACAGCAGGAGACAGAAGCAAGTGGAGACGTGCAGTTGAAGCCCTATGTTCCACTAGGAACCCAAGGGAATAATAATAACGATGGGAAACAGCATCAATTCAATGTGCTACACTATCAAACATTTCATGAGGATTATATTTTATTATCACTTTTATTCCTTTGAGTTTCATGTGGGACGCGCGACTTGAGCCTCGAAGGTTTAGTAGCAATAGTGTTTATTCTTTACGAGGCGGGGTTGTTAGTCTCACGCCTGACCATCCCTTTTTATTGAGCTTACTATCGGTTAATCGAGGTTTAGAAAAATGTCAACCGGGGATCGAACCCCAGTCCATGTGCTTGGTTGGTGAGTATTCCTATCACTAAACCACTAACACAGTTCACATAAGGAAATACAACTTAAATTTATAGAAATCTCTATCAAATTTCTGCAAACAAAAATCACAAGTAACACAATAGTTTGATAGATATGAATTACAAATTATAAAATATTATGCCTTCACTGGATTTGACTACCTTAGTTCTCCGGAACAGAGGATATATCATGTGTCAAACTATGAACCACACACTTATCGTGTGAATGTTGGTAATAATGACCCAGTTGCTCAGGCTGAAATAGCTGAGTGTGTGTGTGTGTGGGGGGGGTATTCGAACTCTCCACCCGTTGGGGCTTCATGTCAAGTGAAGGAACAGTAATCATTTGATACTCTCAGGTAATAGGTAATGATGTGTGAAAACTACAGAGTGAGCAGGTGCGATAGACTGGTTTATTATGATGACAATTTACAGAAAAGCCACAAGTCTTCCTGTAGTACTCCACGAACTTAGTATCCAAAATTCCAGATTCCATAATCATGCGTAGACTGACTGACTGATTGACTGCTAACTCAGAAGAAACAAACCCGTGAACAAATAAAAACCAGTCAGGCAGGCGACTTAAACCAAGAAGAGGGTGTAGTATTAATTTCGAAAATAAAATATACTTAGTTGCCCAGGCAGAGAGAGGTAAGTAGTCGAGAAGAGCTCACACGCGTGACAAGTAAAGAGACAAACAAACATCAGAAATCTCAAGAGTATTTTGTTTTTTCTAAAGTATAGCTTGACAAGTTGAATGACACTTCAATGTATACTTGTATATCTATCTATCTGTATCCGCTGAGAAATGAAGAAAACCAAACCAAAAGATAAATAAATTTCAAGTGACTCCTACGGTGAAATCACGTGAAAACACAGTTAAGAAGATATATTGATTTAAGAAAAAGAAATAAGTAGTATATAAATTATCAACGGGAGGGATTTGACAGAGGTTACTTCCTTCACTTATCTGGCTAGGAAGCCAGCATCGTTTCAACCACAGGCGACATCCAGGTGTAGGCTTACGGCGAGTTGTCATTTGAACTGGTGACAACCAGTGGTGTCCGTCAAGGATGCCCATTATCCCCATTCCTATTCAATTTCATCATAGATGTACTAATGGAATTAACCCTAACTCACTTCAGAGACTCAGCGGTTGATTGACTTGCTACCAGGGAATAATCTCGTCGACGCGTGCGTTTCGGATTGTGAGGGCGATTGTTACTTCCCGGCTGCCCACACCGTGGAAGTTTAGAAATAGGAAGTGAAGTGGTAGAGCACGTTGACCGCTTCACTTATTTGGGAAGTACCATCAGCCCCAACGGGCTGATCTCTGACGAAATCTCAGCACGAATACAAGGGGCTCGTTTCGCATTTGTTAGTTTACGCCGACTCTGGCGTAGACGAGATGTTCGACTATCGACCAAAGGGCGGGTGTACTGCTCATCAGTCCGCTCCGTCCTCCTTTATGGTTGTGAGACCTGGCCACTGAGAGTGGAAGACATGAAAAGACTAGCTGCCTTTGATCATAGGTGCCTGCGTTCTATTTCCCGTGTAAAGTGGCATAATAAGGTGAGCAACATGGAGGTTAGGCGTAGAGTTCTAGGTAATCAGGGGAAATCAATCGACGAAGTCGTGAAGCTACATCGACTGAGATGGTTAGGACATGTGTTACGTATGCCAAGTCATCGCCTCCCTCGACGAGCTATGTTAGCGGATATAGGGTCAGGCTGGAAAAAAGCTAGCGGCGGTCAAACAAAAACTTGGCATCAGTCAATGAAATCCACAACAGTTGGTCTTAGCCACGTAGGAAGGTGTAGACTTCCAGGCTGGGGTCCTCGGGACGGCAAAAATCTATGGTTGGAAACAATTGGTGACATGGCTCAAAATCGTTCTCAGTGGCGCAGATGCATCCACTCCCTGTGACTTATGATCTCCAATGAAACTGTTTTGTATTTCTTTATTACTCCTTTGTCTCACACCTCTGCTCACTGTTTCTATTTGCTTTTCTTGTACTTTCTTCTGTTGCTTCGCGTGCTACACGGAATGTGGCGACTTGAACTTCCGCACATTTGTGCAAAGTTCTATGTCGAAAACAGACAGACAGACAATCTCGTCGACTTAGAATATGCAGACGATATAGTCCTTATAGGCGAGGATGCTGACAAAATCCAGCAGAGTTTTCTGAACACCTTGAGCTGCAATCTACGAATGTTTAGCATGCGATTGGCTCCCGCCAAATGCAAGATGATGTTACAGGACTGGACTACATAGACTCCTAGATCAGAAATAGGAAGTGAAGTGGTTGAGCACGTTGACCTCTTCACTTATTTAGGAAGTACCATCAGCCAGTGCCAACGGGTTGATTTCTGACGAAATCTCAGCACGGATTCGGGGGCTAGTTTCGCATATGCCAGTTTACGCCGTCTGTGGCGTAAGGGTGAGTGTACTGCTCATCTGTCCGCTCCGTCCTCGTTTATGGCTGTGGAACCTGGCCATTGAAAGTGGAAGATATGAAAAGATTAGCTGTCTTTGATCATAGGTGCCTGCGCTCCATCTCCCGTGTGAAGTGATATAATAAGGTGAACAACACTGAGGTTATGCGTTGAGTGCTAGGAAGGTAGGTGGGTGGAGAAAACAATCAACGAGGTTGTGAAGCTACATCGATTGGGGTGGTAAGGACATGTGTTACACATGCCTAGTCATCTCATTCGTCGACAGTGGGCAATGTTAGTTGACATAGGGTCAGGCTGGAAAACAGCTAGCGGTGGCCAAACTAAAACATGGCCTCATCAGTCACTGAAATCCACAACAGTTAGTTTAGGCCACGTGGGGAGGTGTACACTGGCTTCGTGACTAGTTGGGGTCCTCGGGACGGTAAAAACTAATAGTTGGAAGCAATCGGTGATATGGTTCAAAATCGTTCTCAGTGGCTGGCTAGTGCAGATGCATCCACTCCTTGTGACTTATGATTTCCAATGAAACTGTTTTGTTCTTCGTTATTACTGTTCCTTTTGTCTCACACCTTTGTTTACTGTCACTATTATGCATTTCTTCTACTTTCTTCTCTTGCTTTGTGTGCTACATGAAGTGGAGTGTGGCGAATTGAACTACTGCAAAGTTTTATGTAGAAAACAGACAGACATAGACAGGCGACAGCATGGATGGAGATGTCAAAGTCAGCCAGACAGAATTAGAAAGACAAGATATGCCTATATCAACCTGTGAACCAGTTTGGAAATCTTCTGCAGTCACACAGCCAGCCAGCCAGCCATCATAAACAACAAGATTCCGATTTTGTTCAACACAAATGTGAAGTCAATCAGTCAGCTCTTCATATGAGTCAGAAACTTGCACTACACGTCACGTTGAGGATTTCTAACAAGCTATTGTAGACTTTTAGCAACAGCTGCCTCCTTCCCTGGCTGTCTAGCTCCATATTAAACATTAAATGGCCGGTCAGAAAGAATTACCAACAAGAAACTCTGACTGGCGACAAACTACCGACTAAGAGGCGATTGCTCAATAAATATGTAGGAGAAAATGGAGATGGATACGTCGGGTATACGTTGAGAAGGCCGTGGAATGACATCGCGCTGCTCAATGCACACCATCTTTCGAGTGGACAACCAATCAGAAGCAACGAGTGGGTCGTCGGTGCGAGGGTGACATGGAGGCGATCATGTGGCGACGAGTGGGAGGAGCAGGTGAGAGATTATGGAACCAAGTGGAGATGCGTTGTTGAAACCCTATGTTCCACTCGGAACCCAATGGAATAATAATCATAAGCATATAAATTAGATTCACAATTTGCAAATTATTTCGCAATTTACACAGCTCGAAAAAGTGGAATTTCACATCACAGTTCCCTTTGCCTACCGAAAATATTCGGATCACAAAATATGTGATCTGTCTGACACCATGAATGGTAATCAAGAAGGAAAGCATAATTACATGAAACTGTATACTGTTGGTAGATTAGGATGAGTAGCTGTATACCGCTCATATCAGCCAGTAGTATTGTCCGCCTGTTAGCCGGATCGAAGTGATCTCAAAAAAACAACGGGAAAGCCATTTCCGCTCGTTTTGGCGTCGAGCTCAGCAGTGGTGTAACCGGTTTCAATCAGCTCAGAGAGGTGAATCACGTCGGAAAAACAAAAAAGATTGAACTAATTTAGCAGTCTCAGCGCTGAATCAGTCCGGATACACAGTCGACGAGCCCAACGCCGAACGATCAGAACGGCAATCTTGTTGTGTTTAGATCACGTCGATAATCTAATTGGCTAGGGTGCACTACCTAGTTGATGTGAATGGTAGTCTTCAACCACTAGTCTCAACTAATCAGTAGTATATAGTTTCATGCACATAAGTAATACGGATAATAATAATAATAAAGCACATATGATATATTCTCACCGGGTTTCACCAACTGAAATCAGTGAATTTGCTGGCGGGCCAGTAGTCACATTCTGTTGGAACATATTTGTAGCTGCTGCGGCAGCCGCGGCCGCAGCCGCCGCTTCACGAGTCACCATCAACTGAGCAGCTGCTTCAGCCATTCGACACTGGTCACGTGTCAGTCGACGTGTCATACATAATGCCATGCCTGAAACATGCGTTGGAGATGATCCTGTACTGGCTGAGTATACCATAGAGGTTAAATCCTCTTGAGAACTAATCCCGGAATCGTGAGCATCACCTCCACCACCACCACAATTAGTTGAACTACTACTTGTTGCAGAACCAGATTTACGACGGGATTTACCACCTAAACGAGTCTGAAAAATAAAACATAAAATGAGGTATGAGTAGTGTGCATATAAAATAGATTAAATCGATTTTTATAACATCAAACTTGATGAATGACAAAGTCTAAGTTTTCATGTGTTGGTTCGCTGCTGGAATTTGAGTAATTTCAAGACGACTGACAACGAACTGAAAATCAGTCTACTGCTCACTGACGGATTCGATACAGGATGAAGCTATCTACAGATTCGAATGCGAAGTCGTGACCAGCGGGGTTCACCAAGTAGGGTGTGACGGGAAACACTTATCGATGACAACGTCTGAGTGTTACCCTGACAGTTGGCAGAAGTTGGAATTCCTTAAGCCATTAGATACCATCCTAGTGGCTCATCCGTTTACGAGCTCACCTTGTAATCTGGAGGCCACGGGTGCATACACTGAAGAGCCCCAAACAAGGACGAAACAGTTGTCCAGTACTCCAACATAGTTTATCAACGGTTCTCTAACTCAATTTGATTCATGATCAAAACTGAGACCAATCAAATTCCTGAGAACAACCATCTGAATACTGAACTAGACTGGTGTAATCCCCCATGCACGATACAGCGCTTAAAATATACACATTCCTCAGTATAATATTTTTTCACGGGTTATCTCAAAAAACTTCGCTACAGCAATTTATGAAGACAATAACAAGAGGCAGGATCTACTGGACACGAAATGTATACATGTTTATAACAATTATTTTGACATTCTCCAATTCATCTCCACTATTCCTGGTGAGGGTGAAATTAAAGGATAGGAATACAAAACGGTTTGACGTGTGCAAAGGGCAACTTTATATATAATATGGTCATCAAAAATAAACAAAATGAGATTACTATTCAAGAACTGTTGGCCTGTAGGGATTTGACCTGTTTAAGGATTTCATTATGAGCTATTAGTTAGAGAACCACTGGAAAACCAGCATAGAGTACTGGACACCTACCTGTTTCGTCAGCCTAGTTTGGGGTTCTTCGACAGTACGCACCCACCACAGGGGTTCGAACCGAGGACCTTCTGGTTACAAGACAATCTCATAGACTACTTTCAGTCGCCACTGGGACCCAACTCACTGGTCAGTCTATAAATTTTAACTTCTATCAATTCGTGATTTAGCGCGACCCCAACCAATGTCGTCGGTGGGACATCCATCCTCACACGTGACATCTGAATGGACCTCACTGATCGCGACTTCTCACTAGAACTCCAGGAAACTCTATCCTGTAGCAAGTCAATAGTGAGCATCAGATTAATTTTCTATAGTTGGTTTGTAAGGATTAGTTTTGTTTCTATGAGTTGATCACGGATTGATATCAGTTAGAGAAGCATTGAAAACCAGGGAGTACTTAATAGACACACACAAGCATGACCAACGTAGATCTATGCGAAACGGTGTTGTTCGTGTTTTCAGTACGAAGTGATATGGTATTACGCCTGATCCCTGTGTAGTGTTTAGGAGTTTGCAAACAAATTAAAAGAGCAATGAAAACCACAATAGCTACCAGTAGAATACTACTATTGAGGAGGAGTCCATATAACTGACATATTTCTAAAATTAACAAAATTGTCAAATTGTTGGCGAGACTGTCTCAAATAACGCTGAACTGGCAAACTAATTCTGTTGCAGTGGGTTACGCATATACGCCGGTGGTTCAATGGTAGAATGATCACCTGCTCCAGGATTCGATTCCCCAGCTTGACGGAGGATGGTATCTACAGACACGCCTTAGAACAGTTAACGTCAAAAAATTATATACCAGTATGTAGGCGTATAAAATGGAGGATCTGGACTTCGCCGATGATATATGTCTGATTTCTCACAAACTGGAAGATATGCAAGTGAAAAGCAACAAGCTGGCAGAAGATAGGACTCCAAGTAAACATAGAGAAAACAGAAGTGATGAAGATTCCTAGGCAACACCAACAATAACAACAGACAACAATCAGCCAGCATAAATGGGAGGAACCTGAAAGAAACAAAATCCTTTACCTACCTACCTACCTGGTAAGCATCGTTTCAACTACAGGCCATCGGAACTGACGAGGATATCAAGGCCAGAATCGGGAAAGCAAGACAAGCTTTCATTTCTCTCAAGTCTGTGTGGAGGTCAACAGCACTCAGCATCAAAATGAAAATAAGATCCGGATTTTCAACTCCAATGTGAATCAATGCTTCTTACTGAACGGATCAGAGACTTGGCGCATCATAAAGAGCACCTCAAACAAACTACACACCTTCATCAACAGCTTTCTTTTCTCAATACTACTCAAGATCAGATGCCCGGCGAGAAAAGATTAGCAACAAGGATCTCTGGGAGAGAACCAATCAGGAACCGATTGTACAACAAATAGGCAGGAAGAAATGGAGATGGAATGGCCATACGCTGAGGAAACAAACCATCGAGTGATATCACTAGACAAGCCATCACTCGAGTGGAACCCGAAAGGGAAGCGGCAAGTTGGTCGTCAGCACAAAGGTGACTTGTGAGAGGTCATGTGAAGAGGAGATGAAAGCATGTGGGCAGACCTGGAACTAGGTGAAAACTTTAGAAGAGAACCGAACGCAATGAAGATGTGTAGCTGAAGTCCTATGTTCCTCTAGGAATTAAAGCAAATAATAATAATGTAGGCGTATCCAGCCATTCAACTTTATGATTACAAAGATACACACACGCAAACAGCAACAGAAAGTTAATTCGACTATCAACCACCACCAGTGACCAATTCCAATGAACAGAACATCTTTAAAAAAAGTGAACCATGAATACTTACTCGTCGTTTTTGCTGTTCCAATTCAAAGAGATCAGCTTGTCCAAGTTCAGGAACACATTCTTGTGCATGCGTTAAACATAAAAATCTTAAAAAATATGTCACGAAATACAGCAAAGCCATCATATAGGCACGTGATTGACCAGAAATGACAGTACAATTGAAGATGCTTCCACAGACTGCATCTGTTCCAATCGGTATGAAACTTGTTTGTGTCAACAGTTGATTCAACAAACTACTCCGTACATTTTGACTGCTTGAAGATGAATTTTCATTGGTGTTTCCCTGTGATTAAGAGGCAGAATTAACTCAAATGCATAGATATGCATGCTAAGTTATAGTTAACTAAGCGAAATAACAATAGAAAGTTCTACGTAATAAGCTGCTAGACTGCATTAATCAGTCAGAACATATTTAAAAAGTGCTCTTAAATATTCTAATACACGTTTGAGTAAAATTTACTTTATTCACGTATGTTTTTTGACACTGGATCACATGCAACGAACAGAGGTAAGACGAAATTTTATTGAGAATACATGGTTTTCGTGATGTGACAGTGGATGCTATCCGTCAGTTACTCACATGACAAAGATCCATTCTGTCGACCGAGAGGTTCCCTGGTGATGCTTGACTGTAAACGGAATGCCGAGAAAATACATTGCACTGATTAAGGCACTCTACTCGCACTCATGCAGCCAGGTGAGAGCTGAACTGGTGACAACCAGTGGTGTCCGTCAAGGATGCCCATTATCCCCATTCCTATTCAATTTCATCATAGATGTACTAATGGAATTAACCCTAACTCACTTCAGAGACTCAGCGGTTGATTGACTTGCTACCAGGGAATAATCTCGTCGACTTAGAATATGCAGACGATATAGTCCTTATAGGCGAGGATGCTGACAAAATCCAGCAGAGTTTTCTGAACACCTTGAGCTGCAATCTACGAATGTTTAGCATGCGATTGGCTCCCGCCAAATGCAAGATGATGTTACAGGACTGGACTACACCGACTCCTAGATCAGAAATAGGGAGTGAAGTGGTAGAGCACGTTGACCGCTTCACTTATTTAGGAAGTACCATCAGCCAGTGCCAACGGGTTAATCTCCGACGAAATCTCGGCACGGATACAGAGGGCTAGTTTCACATATGTCAGTTTACGCCGTCTGTGGCGTAAGCGTGATATCCGGCTGGCTATTGATCAAAGGGTGAGTGTACTGCTCATTTGTCCGCTCCGTCCTCCTTTATGGTTAGCTGTGAGACCTGACCATTGAAAGTGGAAGACATGAAAAGGCTGGCTAGCTGTCATTGATTATAGGTGCCTACGTTCTATCTTCCGTGTGAAGTGGTATAATAAAGTGAGGAATATTGAGGTTAGGCGTTGAGTTCTAGGTGAGGAGGGGAAATCAATCGACGAGGCTGTGAAATTACATCGACTGAGATAGTTTGGACATGTGTTACGCATGCACCACTAGTTATCTCCTTGCTCGACGGTCAATGTTAGCTGATATAGGATCAGGCTGGAAAAGAGCTAGCGGTAGTCAAACCAAAACATGGCACTAGTCAATGAAATCTACAACAGTTAGTTTAAGCCAGTCACGTAGGAAGTTGTAGACTTCCTGACTGGTTGGGGTCCTCGGGGCGGTAAAAACCAATGGTTGGAAACAATTGGTGATATGGTTCAAAGGGATCGTTCTCAATGGCTATCTGGTGGAGATGCATCTACTCCCTGTGACTTATGATTTCCAATGAAACTGTTTTGTTCTTCGTTATTACTCTTCCTTTGTCTCACACCTCTGTTTACTGTCTCTATTATGCATTTCTTCTACTTTCTTCTGCTGCTTTGTGTGCTACATGGAGGGAGTATGGCGACTTGAACTTCCGCACATATGTGCAAAGCTTTATGCCGAAAACAAACAGACATGACAAAGATCCACCTTTCCGACGTAATTTATTTCAAAAAAGTCGAAAACTGTTAGTGTTTCAGTGGCTGTTTATCATGAGTAGTGAAAAAGCTACGTGAAACATAGCTCTAGTTGGTGTTTTTTTTTACGCAGAAAGTATCCCGGCAACGTTGGTTACCCTTAGAAAAACGTCATTATCCAATAGTTACCGTTAGGTAGACTGTACAAATTCTCTCTCAAGGCACACAAACACACACGCACAACTTTACAATAATTCATGTTTAACACACCTTCCCCCTCACAGTTTTCTTACTCTATGGCTAACCTTCCTAACATTATATAAAATCTCCAATAAGTATTACAGCCTGCATATTCCTACAGGGTTGTGGTTATCAGTAACCATTATCGTCAAATATCTACGCTAACGACCAATAGGCACGTTCCTTTCCGCTTATTGCACAGCAGATTCATGACATTATATACTGGTCTCATTTTCACTGGTATAAACACGATTAACTTCACTTTTACTACGCATTACTGCTATCTGGTTACTGGGTATTTAAATATTCTAGATTTAAAAAATTATAATAAACCTCAAAACAGTAGCACAGCAGAAATAACATTGTATCCATATAACATAAAGATTAAATGCTGTTGTTTAAACTACTCAGCAAAATAAAAACACAGGTAGTAACATTACGCCTATTCCGATGATTGCAGAGAACTTTAAGTATTTCCCTTGTTGATCGATGGGAAAAGGGGAAATACCAACGACACGGTAGGTGTAAAAAACTGTCTGTTAAGGACCAGGTAACAACACATATTTTATTTTTTTATTCCAGCTTGATTGTACACTGTGTTTTTGGTACAAGTCCCGGCCGATAACTGCTACCTTGTCGTGGTGGTCGGGCTTGAATACCGTAATGACCCAACATGCTAAACTGACTGGGACTCTGTCCCTGCAGGTCCTACCATGTCAGGAAGGTTGTTTGGATAGCAGTTAGACTAAAAGCAGTTACCATGGGGTACATGGGCTCCAGTATCATCCAATCGGATCAAATGGCGTATGAACCCATATGGGTCACCCGAAAATATGGGAATGCAGCTCCTGATGCTGCCTTGGAGATAAGACTCCAAGTCAAAGGCTCGGAGGGTGGTCCCTTAATAAAACCACTTGCTTCGGTCTGGGCGCCCGGGAAGTATCTCAGCCCTCACACAATGAATTGAATGAAGCAACAAACAATCAATGAAACTTATCGCGTGCTATTACACGTGTTGCAATTACCTTCTTCCTCCCCTTTCTTGATGGTAGTTAACGAATACTGTTTGAACTTGTTAAGCATGACTGTCTTCCTTCCAGATGAAGTTCCTTATCTATTCTCTACTTATATATATTTTTTCCTCTTCTTTCTTTTTTCTCTTTTGATTTGTGTTGTTTCATTATTATTGTGTGGCGCATCCTTCTTGGTGCCATATTGTACCAAGTTTTTATGCGTTTAAATAAATAAGTAAATTTTGGTACAAGTATGGAATTTTCAGCATGTGATATCGGTTGCCCAAATTTTGCAGACCGACCATAGATATCAGGTGTGCGTCGGCAGGGAGTCGAACCTCGGGTCATGTGCATGGTCGCCGAGAGACCTAACCACTGTGCCACCGACGTACAAGTAAGACGAACTACACAGACTAGTTTGCTAAATGCTTCTGACCGTGCTACTGCTTTCAAAGGCTGATGTACCACAGTTCACTATGAATAGTCGGTTACGACAATTTCTCACAAATCTGCTGTCCCTAACCAAAACATAAAAAAACAACTATATGACAGTTGCAAATACATGAAATCAGTGATTGAATTAAAAAGAAACTCACCAAATTGGAACGCGAGCCTTTAGACGAAACACCATCGAGCCAACCAGTATGGAACATTAGAACCCCCGTGAGCAAACGGCTCAGGAAGCTAAAAACAAAAAGTCAGTGAATTCACGACCTGAGTGCATCTGATGAAGTGATTAAAAACAATAGTGCTAGTCATGCGTGATTTCGTTGCTACTAGTCTCCACTTCTTTTTATTCTTACCGAAATACAATAAATATATTCACGTATTCAAATAATCATATAACTATTTATTAAGACTGTACCCGTCTAACAAGAGTTATAGAGAATGAGGTAACCTACTCCTCTCTCCACCAAATTGCTCGTGACACAGACCAAGAGCATCAGAGAATTGAGGCAATAAATATTCATGAATATTCTTCATCCGGAGATATCATTTAATAAACAAACAAGTTTTTAGAAACTCCAAATAAAAGCGATAATCGAACCCCGATGATATATCACGAGGTCTTTTTGTCGCTAGTATTTATTTATGCAGTTTCAGCACTAGTTAATGAGGAATTTTCGTTAAGAGGAGAAACAGTTACACATGACAGCTAACTAAAACTAATAACCCAGACGTTAACACTAGACTCTTTCAGAAACAGTAAAACTACTATTAATCGACCTCAACATTATTTGAGGAATTAATTTATACGTATAAAATTACTGCATCATAAAGGTTTACTGAGACTATCTCGCTTAGAGCGTTTCAACATTCGACAGAAACAAGTTTGACTACAAATGGAACAGTAGCAAACCACCCACTCAGTTTGTCTTCGTACAAAATTAATAAACTGAGTCAGAAATATTCCTAGCTTAGTGATAGAGTGAAGTGATAGAACATGTTGACCACTTCACCTATTTGGGAAATTGTATCATCACCAACGGACTGATTGGAGACGAAATCTCACCACGGATCCAAAAAGCTCGAGCTGCTTCCGCTAACTTACACCATCTCTGGCGTAGGCGTGACATCCGGCTATTAACCAAGGGACGTGTGTACTGCTCAGAAGTTTGCTCCGTCCTTGTCTATGGCTCTGAAACATGGCCAATACGAGTTGAAGACATGAAAAGGTTGGTTGTTTTTTATCATAGATGTCTACGACCTTTTTCTCACGTTAGGTGGTTTAATAAAGTAAGTAATGTTGACGTTAGGCGTAGTGTTGGGCAGAGGGAAAATCAATCGACGAGGCTATACAGTTACATAGATTGAGATGACTAGGTCATGTGCTGCGCATGCCCAACCATCGCCTCCCCGACGGGCATTACTAGCTGATATCGGTATAGGTTGGAAAAGAGTAAGTGGTGGCCAAACAAAAACATGGCCTCATCAATCCATGAAATCATTGACAGTTAAACTGAGTCAGTCAGATGGGGAGATGCAGACTTCCGGGTTGGGGCCCTCGGGACTGACTCTAGGAATCAATGGCTGGAGACAATAGGTGAGTGACATGGCTCAAAGTGATCGTTGTCAATGGCCAGCGCAGATGTATTCAGTCTCTGTAATCTTTCATATTCCTCTCTACCATTACCCATTCTGTCTCACTCGTAATACTTGTCAGACTCTATTGATTCTCTTCACTCATCTTCTTGTCTACCTTTGTGTGATATTTGGAACGTGGCAAGTTGAACTGGTGCAGTTCGGTGCCAAGTTCCATGTTGAATCCAGACAGACAGACAGAAAAGTCTCAAAAACCAATGGCATTACTAGACATAAGGATTTTGAGATAATCAGCCTGTCGACCAAAAAAGAAAACTATCACACTTCAAAGAGTTTGCATTTGCTTATCTAGATTACACCACACTAATTTTCCGAGACAACTAACCACAGAAACTCTCCAGAAACCAACTTCCTTGGTTAAATCTATCCACGTGAACCCATAATTCTATTGACTGTAAATGAATGCACCAAACAGCTATAGCATTCAGAGAATTATATGTAGAAATTCAAACTACTGGCCATAATTGTTAAGTACATATATATCCTTGTGGTGTTGCAGCCCTCTGAATATCAAAAATAACCACACCATAAATATTTATAGTCATACAAAAATCCTATTCGAATTGTTTTACAGTATCCCAAATGTTGATGAGCATGCAAATATAAACACGTAAATATTTACTTACTTGCGGTGATCTCTGTTATTTCCTTTAATTATCAGCGGTACCAAGCAGGATTTTACAAATATGTCAGCAAGATTATCTTTAGAAGCTTGACTACAATCAGCGGACAATGACTGGCAATAACTGGGATCCATATTCAACCAATAAGCGACACAGTCTGTACGAGATGGTTCAAAGTAAGACGGTAAGGAATCCGAACCAATCGATAACGTGACATTTAACGTAGACCAAACAGGGAAAGATAATTTAGGCAGACACAAATCTCTGAAATAATCCAAAAAGTTGTTGAAGGCTTTTGTTATGACATCAGTACAGTGCGGCTCTGGTACAAAGTTGTGCGTCCCCCAGCAACTGCGAGTGCCATTACATACGGCTACTGCACATTCATTAGTCAGTGTCTCAACTAGCAGACTTAGCTGAGTCCAATGCTCAAAAAGCATACGGTAAAATCGTCTTGGAGAAAATGGCGAATTCTTGAAACAATTGTCAACAGACGGTTGCATGGCTGCTTGATTGCTAACATCGGAATTAAAAAGGTGAAAGTTCCGACGACTGTGAGACTTTTGCGCAACGAGTGTTTTGCTTGCATACAAGCCGTTGGTAGATGAACACCACTCTAGATTTATAAGTAAGCAAACAGCCAAGCTTCTATTGCTGCTTGTTTCATGCTTCTGCAACTAAAGTGAAATTACTCAGGCAGTTTAACTTACCAACTCAACGTTCCCGAGAGTAAATATTCCGCGCTTCACCCATGGGTTCTGCCCACTACTGAGATAAAGTTTTCGCCTGAAAATATTACCACGCAGTAAGTCAGCACTTACCACTCATCAATATCACTGATGACTCTTGTAAACAACAATTGACCAGATGAACTATGGATTTCATTAAAAAAACGACAATTTGATTACCTCATGTCATGGACTTTTGTTGAGAAAAGTAGCGGTTTCCTACTATTTAACGAATAGGAACCGAATGCCATGTCTCTCAGGTCACATTGCTGTCTTCCAACATTTAGAATTGGTACTGACTTGACAGATTCCTGAAAAACGACTTATACTACCTCACAAAAATTACCTTTTGAGCGGAGGAGTCGAAAATGACACCAGAGTCTTCATTCTTCAGGACTAACAACCGGACAGCTTTTTTCTTTAGCAATTTACTTAAATGACTTAAACAACTCTAAACATGACATAATGTGCATACCCGACATTTAAGGCGTCACTCCCATCAAATACTTTGAAGAAATCATCAAATTCCTTCTCATCGATTGCCTTCCCGATACCGAAGGCCTTTCTCAGCAGGGCAAACGACATTAGTCTGACCCTAACATTTTACACATATCGACCGCCGCAACGAAGGTTGTAAACAACCAAACACTCCTAGGTCACAAATCCAATGTCCAATAGATTCGGATGTTCATTTGAGCCTGGACTTATACGTCACGTTTGGTTGAAATTTCGCTTGAAAAAAATTTTTTGTAAATAATGTTTTAATAAAATTGTGTTATATGCTATCTGGACTGATGGGAATTCTCATTTCTTGACTAGTTATGTTGGTGTTCGCGTCATGTGATCTCACTGCCACACACTCTTAGCAGTCTAGCTGCAATGATTAGTGTTTCAGGCGAACTGCGACAAAATATCGCTATAATGAGCATAATGGGATATTTATAGGGTAATTTCATCCACACAAATAGCTTACTGTATGTAGAAGCTGCACCTTTCGGCATAGTATCATTCAATGAAGAGTTCACGTCTCAGGATATCAATGCAGCGTACTTTCGTGTTAAGCACAGTACCATTTGAAAATTGAATGCTATCAGTGCATGGGAATTACCTATAAATTCTAACAGAACCTTCTGCGGGAACAGAAGTTATCATGTAGATGTGTCTTTCAATGTATGTGTGTTTGGACAGGGATTATCGTCAGTTAAAAGGTCGTCTCTAAGTGGATTTCATATATATTTGCACTGATAGGTGCAGTGTAATATGGGTTATGTGGATCTAAAGTGTAAAAAATATTTCTACTTCATTAATATTCTTCCATTGTGTGCTTAGCTGACTGCTAGTCTAACAAATGATTGTTGCGACTGCCACTGCAGTGAAGGCAATTACTCGTTTAAATTTCCCCACTGTTTCACTTAGTGCATTAATTCACTGTATGGTATTATTGTACTCATGGATTGTGTTGGTTATGAGAACTGAATCTAGTCAGCTCTATTGTTATCAATCTATAGATTAAGCTGAAACAATTGCCACTATGTGCCGAATTAAGTCTTCGTTCTGAAGTAATACTAGTCAGTGCCTAATATGTCCTGTGAGAACATTTCAGAACGGATTTACAACTTACTCACCATAGAATGTAAGGGTTATTTCAGAATTTGTGAGATTTAATTTAGCGTTATACTTAGCTTGGGTTCTGTATGGCGCAATGTTTCTAATGACACTGTATACATAATGCCGCAATATTCTCGATTACCAATAGCGCAGATCAATTTCTCCTGAAATCACATTTACAAGAAGGGCTAGAGATGCAGTGTTACAATTGCATGAATAAGTTGAATTATCTGAAAATGTTATTCTCATCAACACAACAGGTCTGTGTATGTCAGCCACGTCTCGTAAACCGTCAATGCCCAGCTATTGCTACACTGGGCCTCATGCTGTCCCTCGAAGCTTCTCAGAAACGCTTAGTAATAACGGACGCAAAAACCAAAACACTGATCTGCCGCTTGAGAATTCTTTATTGTAACACCAACATATAAAAAATATTTCTACTAAGGTCTGTGAACAAATATTACAATAATAAATCATTGTATTACTTCTAACGGTTTATTGCTGACTTCTTTCTGAACAGCGACCGATGAGACAATGACTGTCGTTTTGATGCCTCCGCGAAAATTGAGGAAGTTGATTTTGAACAAACAACCAAGAATTGATCGTTCAATCTTCAACTCCATTGACACTACCCGGCAAAAAAGGGATCCAACCCTTTTTTCCTTCACGACCAATACACGTTGACTTGGATGCCATTGCGAGAACCTGGGTCACACGGACAGAGCTGAAATGGAAAACAAACAGAAAAGCCAACACACCACAAGCATACCCACAGCACAATCTCACACATCAGTGACGACCTGCGCCTCCAGACAGAGACCTCCTCTTGACATCTTGCAACACAATCGCCACTTGCTAGAATGACTCTTGCAGAATGCAACGTGACTATAGCAGCACCTCACGATACTCTACGCACATCCTCGTATCTACTCACTACCAATTACCACTGAAATCGCTTGTCACTCATTCTGCCTCAGTTCTAGTAGTGGTGACGCATGCGAGCCTCAGTCGTTTACACTCTTTCTCCCCGGCGTGTAGGACCGCAGCTAACAATTATCTCCGTGTGCATTTCATTCTCAGCAATAGCCTAGCCTCCCGGGCGTATACAACCCATCTGCCGTCTTTAAAATTAATCAACTCATTCACGAATGTAGAATACTGGAAACAACTTCAGGAGTAATCACGACGAAAATTCTAACAAATTTATGCATACCAACAAGATACGAAAACTACAAGTAAACACAATGAGTCGAAAAGCACCAATTGATATGATACACCATACATATATACAAATAGTACAAACAACCTCGCCGATCATGTCTTGGTGGAATTCCTTTGAAGAATTGCAGGACTTACACCAGTACGCCTACAAACCTTCTCAGGTTGACGATTGTAATTTGTGGAATGTCTGGACACAAACAAGATTAACCAACAATTACATCAATTGGAACTCACACAATTATTTAACACAAACATATGTACAATCAACACATCAAATGTTGTGGATTCTGACACGACAAACTACCATTGAAGAACCGTAGGACTTACAGCAGTACGCCTACATTCCTTCTCAGGTTGACGCTCTAAGTTGGAAAATCGTCGCAGAGTTCATTTCCTAACTTCCCTCTATCAGCTATATCCTCAAATCTGAACGGTAACACGCTCATGTCATTGTATCGTAGAATATAGATGACGAACAAACATACGACGTATCTGGTCAACCAAACGTAGGCACAGCGTAATTTACACCAAAGATAATAGCATTCAAATAGTAACCTGCAACTTGGAAAACCTTTCTTCATGCAAGTCAATTTAACAATTACTCTCTCGTTTACACTTGGCTTATCCTCACTAAACTGAGCAATATCTTTCGTCTTTTCAAATGCACCAATACTATCATAGTCATTGCACAAGGCACTTGAGTTCATGGGTGTCTTTCCCATTGTGGATGACAACACCAACGACGACTGAGTGACACAAGGTGATGAACTTAGTGGTGGATCAGAAGCTGTTGTTGTTCGACTTTCAGAAAGTTGTCTAACTGCAAGATTACCACCACTGCTGTCTTTCACTACTAGTTCGGGTTTAGCACCAACATCTGATGATAGGTGGGCTACACACTGATCGATTACACTGACTGTCTCACAAATATCCACACCTTCTGCAACTGCATCTGCCTTTAATTCTGCGTCACGTTCAAGTGGTACACAACCTTTGTTCAACTCAGTAGAAGTAGGCATTCCTCTCATCTCATCGTGATCAACCAAAGACAAATGTGCACCATCATGATCATTATCACCAATATTCACTTTACCGTCAATTTCATCATTTTCAAACTCTTTAATAACAGAAGTAGACGATTTTGGTTCCTCTTCACAAATCCTTGGATGTTTTTACCTTCACTCCGACTAGTAATACCTGGTAAACTTGTGGAGTCAGAACTGGACTCTGAAACTGTAACTCTCTTCTGTGGCATTCTATTCAACAATAACTTACTGATATTCGCCCGGTACGTTCGAATCGGGTGACGCTTTTGCACGTGTTTACGTTTATATTCATTTATTGGTTACTAATAATTGATCTTTAATAACGATGGTTAAAAATTCTAAAAAGCGTGTTCGTGTGAACACCACTAATTCAGAAAATAGCACCAGCTCGTCTAATAACACATTACCACCCCATATTATTAGTAGTTCACCCAACATAAAAGCCTCGAACATAACTCTGACCCCTGTAATACAGGTGGAAGATGTTCTGTCTGAAAAAGTAGAGCTTTCTTACTTAACGTGCGTAATTAAAGAGGAGCAGCTACAGATAGATGAATTAAAAACGAAATTAAGTTCACTAGAATGTATACCCGAAACTATCTCACGTATGAAAAAAGAAATGCAGGATCCTACAATCCTAAAGCTTTTTAATATGACCTCTAGAATGACTCATACTGACTCAGAAAGTGCGAAGGAGTTAGAAAACGCCATCGAATTTCTATCCAGCGAAGTTGTTAAATGGCTGGCTTCAAAACAAAACGCAATAGTGTATAATGTACCGGATAGCGAGCCCATAAAGTCAGTCCAGCACTCATTGCTGAAGGCTGCAAATCTCTTGAATGCACCTTGTCAGTGCATTCGCCTAAGCAAAAAAGACCTAAAGCATCCTTGTCCTATACTCTTTAGGTTCGACAGCTACATAACAGCTGAACGGTTTAAGATGGCCGAAGATCTTCTGGCTACTGCCACTAAATTGAAGACTGTTAAAGTAGTCTCGGATAAAACACCAAACCAAAAACAAGCAACCAAGAACTCCTTCGATACAAAGTTGACAACACTGAGAAATACATCTGGTATCAGTGCTAAAGTGTCGACGGACACTGAAGCACGGCGAGTCACGTGTATAGTGTTAGGAGAAAAAACGGCAAGTAAGAGCGACCCAAAACTCAGTAAGAGCAGTGCCACTGGGTGCAATCTTAGAGTGCACGAGAGCACATCTCGAAAACCTGCTGACCTACATAAGGTTGACATGGACGCACAAACTATGGCTGACCAGAAACTACTGGCAGACCACTCTCAATCTGGATCCAAGCCAGACAGTCCCTCAGTAGAAACCGCAAAAAAGACCACAAAACCCAGAGTCCCACCCCAGACTTCGACATACCTCCCTCGTAATAAGTCTAATAAGCAGCGTGTCAGTCTAAAAAATGACAAAGCATGGGTAACGAAGCACATTCCCAAAGACGTCACGCAGCATGTGAGAAGGAACACCCCTTCCCGAACTAGAAGTAACATGCCTAACAACGCACATAACTTGGGAATGCAACGTATAATGGATCCTCAGGATATATGGAGCACTAAACGGGACTCATATAGGCACCATATTAACGAAAATCCTCGTCCAAACTCTCGCACTATATATGTTAAACCTCATCAACTTAATGAGAATAGGTCGGCACTTGATCCCCTCAATAACTTCACTCATAAACGTGACGTGAGCCAATATGCATACGACTATGAAAGCCCCTTTAGGTACAACTACCGGGGTAATCTT